CACTATTGTAGGATACAGAAAATATAAATATGTATCATCTGTTCCAGCTTGTGTGGTTGCTCCAGTGATTGTCAGCTATTTGTTCTAATAATTGATGAACAGAAATAATTGGTTACTGAGTTTCAGGCAAACATTCTAGCCATGAATTAAGAAGCCTTCAAATCATCATTGACTCTGCTATCCTCATCCTGTGATTCTCCCCTCATTAGCATGTCTTGAACCTGTTTCTGGGCTGTGAGCTCATGGTAGGTAACAGTATTTCTATGCAAATATGCATGTGGTAGGAAATGCTACAGAAGAACAGGTCAATGGTATGTTCAGTCTAGTGTTCTCTCTCCAGCAATGAACAATGTCGGATGAGAAATGTGAAGGTGTAAACTACCCAGAATGCATCTAACTGTACAGCCAGTTGACTAATTTGTACAGTGCTTTGACGGTGTCAGGTGCTACATAAGTGCTGAGTATTGTAACAAGACTAAACTCTGTTGGGAAAACTCTTTTTGACTCCGGCTGGATTTCTGGAGCTGGAAGATGGGAAAAACCCCACCTAGTGGAACTCCAGATGCTATTCTTATTTTGAGTTTATGGGAAAGAGAAACTGTTGATGGTTCTAAGGAGACAGATGGATCATTGCAACCTCTGTCCTGCAGTATACTGGAAAATGGATCACTGTAACCAGAGTGAGGGGTGTGCATGATGATTGCCTCCCTATAGCATGCTAAAAAAGAGTACATTCTAGAACTTAAAGTTCAGCGTGATCATTATCTCCTCTGCCCACTGATTTTTGTATCTCAAAGTGCAATCTAAGGTTGGTCACTGTCACCTTTTCCTGTGCAGAAGGAGCTGAGCATCTGAATATTCTTGATCAACCTCGTGTTAATTGAGGCAGAGCAAAACCATAAGAAGCTGCAGCATTTCTGACCAGCCTTTCTCATACCACCGCAGCGAAAGGCGTTCTGCAGCCCAGAAGTGCCTGCTGCTAGAGTTTAGTTAATCTGTTATCGCCTGTTAGTACCGTGATATGGCTGCCCTTTATCTCTGTTAGCAAAGTCGGTTTCTTTACACTTTATATAAACTCTGTGGTTTAAGGGCCTTGACTAAAGACTGAGATTCATAAAATAATTTGCATCTTTGTAATGGTCACTTCCAAGTAGAATTTGGCTACTGCTCACAGGTGCTGCTGAGTTGTAACTGTACCGTTGTAAGGGCCCCATGACCTATGGGAATGTCACTTGTCTGTACGCGTCAGGGAATGGCCTTACTGAACAACGTTGTACACACCTGAGAAGCAGCGTATTGCTAATATACATGCTCTGCAACTCAATAGCACCTGGCTAATCAGCTCTTGCATTTTGGGCCTAACCTGCCCCCTTGCTCAGCACCATACTTCATGAGTGGTCACATTCATTTCAGTGGGGTGGCTTGTGGAGTCAGCATGAGTAAAGCTGGCAGAACTGGGCACTGAGCTTGTTCCTGGTGTAATAGATGGGCCAGATATCTCCCCAGCTTCCTCACCCAATTGTGTCTCTGTTCTTTTTCCTCCACTTCTGAAACACCATGACCTGTCTTTTTATTAGCAGCAACATTTCTGAAGCCCAGTCTACCCACAAAGTCACACCGGGTTGAACTGAAGGTGTGGTTTTAAATTGGTTCAAACTCCTGTGTGGACACTCTTATTTCTGTTGATCTAAAGTCAGTCAGGAATTGGTTTAAACTGAACCAAATCAGTGTGCTCTGAAACAAAATAAGTATCCACACAGGGATTTGTGCTGCTTTAACTATATCTGTTTAAAATCATACCTTTACTTAAACTGGAACAGCTTCCCCGTGTCAGCAGAGCCTGGGAAAGCCAGTGCTGTCCTACTGCTTTGGCCTGGGCCCAGTGTTTGTATTTGACAGTGCTCTGGTATGATATGCATTGTCATGTGTCTAGGGGCAATGGCTTAATATATTAATAATTAACATTGATTCCAAATCTATTTCACAGTATCCTTTATTCTGTCTGGGCCAAATGGCTAATCTGATTCTAATGACATCCAAAGGTCTTCATAATTTTCTCTCTGTTGCCTTCTCTCTGTCTCTCACCCGTGATGGCAAGACAGAGTACCCACACTTTGCCCTCCAGCCTTTGGTCTCCTCAGAGTAAGACTGCTCAAAATTCCCCTAAATCAATAGGAGTTTACTAAGAGGTGACCTTTGTCAAAACAGCCCCCTGGCTCTGCTGGGTGCTGCTTCCAGGCCAGTCAAGCCTCCCTGGTCACTTCCCACCCTGCTTCTGAATGTGATACATGGCTCCAAACGCTGATGCTGAAAATATGAGCCGATGACCGCAGACATTTTATTCTCTGTCCCATCTGCCTGTTTAACTACTGGACAATACGTTTCTACAGGGGGCCCCAGGAGACCACCCATCGCAATTTTTAAAGTAAAAAAATCATATTTTCTCCTTATCTGCAGAAGACCTTTATTTGTACTGCCTGTTTGGGAGGCGCTTACACGGGCTGCCTTTCACACTCCTGGTAGCTCACAGCCAAACTCCACCTGTGGTATATTTGTAACTCGTCCATCTATGTGATATAGGTCACCTCCCATTCTATCCACCAAGAGTCACAATAATTAAGAGGCTTCTTGCCCAAGGCATTTCTGAGATATGGTGCCTTTCCAGCTACCTACGTACAGCACCTGATTCTCCACTGCTCTGCACTTTGTGTTGGGACATGGTCCAGTGCAAAGTGGGTCAGAGTGTTAGTGTTTTGTGCTGACTGTGCATACGTGTAAATGACAACAGTGTGCAAGACAGTAGAGAATCAGTCCCATAGTCCACATCTGTAGTGAGCTCCACGTTAAAGGACCTGATTTTCCATTGCCCCAGTCGTTAACATCCTGCAAATTGAGTGTGAAGCGCTGCCACTCTAGAATGGTGGGGTTTTGCTCCCACTTCGCCCTTATTGTAAATGACGATGTTGCAAGGTGACCAAGAGCCAGGTCCCAAATCTTCCTCCCTTGCACTAACACCAGTTGGGGGTGCTAGTAGAGACCAGTCGCCAGGTGCTAACCATCACACTGTCAAACCTGGCATCTTGTTCTTCTCTCGCTGACTTTCTCAGGTGTCTGTCTCTGTGGTATCTGAGCTCTTGGCCAGCAGGGAGGGAGGTTCTTTCTCCGTAGGGCCAAATCTTCCCAGATTCTTATTGTTCTGATCGAAAAACTCTCAACTTCTCCAAAGGGACAGTTTGTTCCTGCTCAAACTGCAGCTGTTGAGGTCTCCTTGTTCAGCCAGGCTCTGTCCCTTTGCAGAACAATGTTCCTGTAGGACACGTGAATCCCTGAGGCTAGGTGGCAGATGCTGGGCCCTGAGTAACAAGGGTAATGTTGGAAGGTGTTTGCAGCTTGTGTACATTTAGTGACATGTTTTTACCCAGAGAGGACTGATCATTGCTGATTCTGCATCCCCACTATACATACTTTCTGCAGGAGTTGCAGTTTGTTTTCCATTCCTTGGTGGGTTTGTGTGCGTGCGTGCGTGCGTGTGTGCTCTCTCTCACTTTGATTCCAGGCTTTGCAGTTCTCAGGGGCCGAGTGACTTGGGCTTTTCCTGCCATAAAGCACTCATGGCTGTTCACCTGTTCGTAATTATTTTTTGGGGGGTTTGTTTTGGCCAAGGGCTGCTGGCTTTTGAGTTTGCTGTCTCCTAGACGCCTCTGGAGTGGAATGGGGGTAGGGTCCTAGGCCTCCCTGCATCACCAACTGCTGCTCTGTTGTGGGGGATGATGTCTTGCTCCGTCCTGGGGCCGTTGTTTCCCTTGCGCCTGCTGCTGCTCTGTGACCACTGTTCCCTGCCTTGTCACAGCACAAGGGCCACCTGGATGAAGTGTTCTGAGTCTTCTTGTGATAGTGCTGTTGGGCTAGCGAGCTATTGAGTAGCTTGTAGTGATTGAGTCCATCTGTAGTTCCTGGAAACTCCCTGCTCTCCCAACTCCTGCAGTTCCCCAGCTGAGCTATTTTGGTCACTCTCGTCTGTTTTATTTACCCAGCTTCTGAATGTGTCCAGAATCGTAGTGCCGGGTGTCTTTGTCTCGCCATGACCTTGAATTCCTCAGTCTGGTGGTCTGTCTGCTAGTAGCAGAAACATGCAAAGGTGGGGTGGGGTTTGGCTCTGTCACGTCCCTAGCAGAAGCACCAGGATGTTTGGATAACAGTTTGAATACAATCCAAGACCTCAATCCTGCAGCTGACCATGCCGCTGAAACCCTGCTGGGAGCTCCATTGAATCCAACCGCATTCTGCGCGGGTGTGGGAGCCTGCCAGGATTGAGGCCTAAATCTTCTTCTACTTCCTACTTCAACCATCCTGCAGTGAGAAGCTCAGTCTCTAGACCAGGGGCAGCTCTATGTTTTTTGCTGCCCCACGCACGGCAATCAGGCGGCCTTCGGCGGCACTTGTCACGCGGATTTGGCAGCGTTTCTGCGGGTGATCTTCCGGTCCCACGTTGCCGCTGAGGGTTGCCTGACTGCCGTCCTCACGGTGACCGGCACGCCGCCCCCGCGGCTTGCCGCCCAAGGCACACGCTTGCTGCGCTGGTGCCTGGAGCCGCCCCTGCTCTAGACCAAGCTAAATACCCGGTATCTGTTGTTCAATTTCATGACATTTGGGCTGTGAAATGATGCGCAACCTCAAGGAGGTGGAATTTGCACAAATGTTTCCATTTATGTGCAGCAGGACCAACATGCTAATGGCCAGTTAAATGTGAAAGTGGAACAGAATGTCTGTGTGTCAAATGTGACCCAATCCAGCCATCTTCTTCCTCACGCTCGGCTGCTTTAGCCTGCATGCCCAAACCTAGTGACTGTACTGTCACCCCAGCTCTAGACAGGGAAAGGGACAGTGAGGTGTGTGTGAATATGAAGTCAGCCTAGAACAGGGAAAGAACACTTCATTGCCATGGCTTAGGGTAGGGCTGGGAGTGCCCTGGCTTCACCGCAGGCATTTGTGTTTTCTAGGGTGATGCTACAAGAAGCCCGGGATGCCTTATGTGGATCGACAGAATCGTATCTGTGGGTTTCTAGACATCGAAGAAAATGAGACCTGCGGCAAGTTTCTGCGAAGATATTTCATCTTGGACACCCAGGCCAACTGTCTTCTGTGGTATATGGATAACCCCCAGGTGAGGTCCCAGAATGCACTCTGTGGAGCATTGCAGATCTGCATGGCTTTCATACTTCACAGCTCAAAGAGCTTCTGCTTCCTGATTTGTGCTGCATCTGCCCCTCCCACTCTTAAGATGCATTTGTTACAAGAGTTCAGTGCTGGGGTTTCACAGCTAGAGCTGGCTTTTTCACGCGTATCTTTTTTTCCAGTTACCTTGGACACCTTAGCAGTGCTGCTTGTGTTCGGACTCTAATGATTGGAGTAAACAGGCTTTATTTAGACAGATATGCTATTGAAATCCCAAAAACGGAGATCACATTTTTTAATTGGCTTCACATTTTTCTCTCCCCCTATTTTTTATTACACCAGCTTCGCTCACTAGTTAAGACGAGCAGAAACAGCAACTTCAGTGCTGGAAAATGTTGGTTTCCTTGTGCCTGGAACCCTGTCCTTCTTAGAAATCTGGAATGATTTATTTCCCGTTCTGATGTTAAAACTGCCATGTAACAGTCTATCAGGATCCTAGAGAGACAAGGTGGGTGAGGTAATACCTTTTATTGGAACAACTTCTGTTGGTGAGAGAGACAAGCTTTCAAGCTGTACAGTTCTTCAGCTCTGTGTAACTCTTGTCTCTTTCACCAAGAGAAGTGAGTCCAGTAAAAGACACTACCTCACCCACCTTGTGTCTCTAGGATCCTGGGACCAGCGTGGCTACAACAACACTGCAAATATCAGGATCTTGGCGAGGTGAAATCCTCTCTGCAGTTCAATCATTGGGTTGTTTTGGCATAAAACATCCCATCATTAATCTCACGGGTATCATAATGGAAAGTCGCCATTTGGATGTCCATTTGTGTCAGATTGTCTGATGCCTGTTTCTGGGGAAGCTGTGTCCCGTAACGTTATCTCGCACCACTAATTTTCCTTGATGCTTTAAGTTGCATAGAAGAGATGCCTTTATCGGATGGAAAGAGTGTCTAAGGAAGGATCTGGTGGTAGGGATAGCAGATTCTATTGTGCTTTTTCATATTCTATCTTGCCACAACATGAGGTGAATATATTGTACCGTGCTCAGTAAGAAATACAGAGGGTGGTCTCTCTCTTTTTTTCTTTTTTTTTTAAGTCTGGTGCTCACTCATATCCTTTTCCTGCTCTGAGGTTGAATTTCCCACTTCTGGGGCCCGATCCAAAGCCCATTGAAATCTGTGGAAAGACTCTCATTGGCTTCAGAGTGTTGGATCAGGCCTCTGTTGGGAAGCTGGTGCTGGGTCACTTAATTGAAGCAGCATTCAGCCTGAGTGCAGCTGGAAGCAGTCCTTCATTTCCAAGTGGGATGGGTCACTGCCTGGGCCATGCTTTCTTGCTGAGGGAAGCTGGAATGTGACTGAATGGTTTCTGTTATCAGTACGTATGAGTGTGTGTCAGAAATGTTCCTGAATTCCCCCTCCACACCCTTTTAGACTTTGAATCCAAGACAAATAAAACGAGAATATCTTCTGGTCTCAGCCAGTGACCTGTTCGGCTCCATGGTGGTGAACCAGCCGCAGGTCCAAAGCTGGGGGTGGAATGTGGGGTAGCAGTTTCTTTTCTAGGTTGGCTCTGACCCATAGCGGTGCAGTGATTGGTCACTCTCCCAGATGTTACTCCTAGGGCAGTTCATAGCTGTGGTTAGAATGCAGAGCTATTCTGATGAGTCAGTATCAGCCAGCAATGCCTGCTGCTAGCTGTATCGAATGGGGGCGGGGTGTGGGGAGCAGTTGTTATCTTCCTCTTTCTCATTTTGCTAAATAGTATAATCTGCATAATGTTTTGTATGAGCTGCATCCACTTTCAGGCCCCAATCCAGCAGAGCACTTAAGCACACGCCTCAAGTCCCTCTAACTTCAATGAGACGTGTGTGCTCAAAGTTAAGCCCCTGCTTAAGTGTTTTGCTGAATAGGAGTGGGCTTAAGCACATACGTAAAGTTAAGCATCTGCTTTGCTGAATTGGGGCTTCAGAAATGAAATGATGCAGGATGCTTTCTGCCATGTATGTTGTTAGACTTTCCTATGGCTGAGTCTTTGCAAGAGGAAACTGCAACAAATCAGTTTCTCTGTGTATACTATGTTCTCTTACACCACACCAATGATATTTTATACAGTTTAACCCCTGAAGAGATGATAAAGCACTATGTCAGTGTGAGACATTATTAGGTCCCCATTCCAGTTCATATCTCGGTGTAAAGACAGTAACAAAAATGATTAAAATATCTGTCATCCTAGAAATGGGGTCATGCAGAATATGTTCACCCAGTAGCCAGGTGTCTGGAGTTTTGTATCTGTTGTGGCTGGCAGCTCCGGGAGTGGTCGTGGCATTTACTACAGTGATTAAAATAATAAGAATAAAAGGTGAGCTGTAGGAATCTCTTCTGTGTGCACTAGCATAAGTCACCATTTGGACTAGTATTCATTGCGTGGCTTTTGTAAATGCAGCTCAGAGCAAATTTTATTTTATTTTCATTTATAATCTATGCCCAGTGCCATGATCTCTGGCCTCTTGACTAATGTTAAAGAACAGAACAACTTTCCCCATGCAATAAACTACACACCAACTAGTGCACCCTTTACTGCCTTGCTGAGGCATAGCGATGGGTCTCACAGCATGGTAAAATGCTGACGTATAGAGACCATTGGTGAGGACAGAACTATTAAGGTGCCCCTCCATAAACAAAGTGTAAAGTGCTAGTCTAGCTCACCTGGTTTGTGACTGTTTATCTTTTAACTCTTAACATTCTTGACTGTTTTGCAGAATCTGGCTCTCGGGTCAGGAGCTGTCGGATCTTTGCAGCTGACCTATATATCCAAGGTAATACGAGGGTGGTGTCTCAGAACTGTTCAGCTGTGGGAGGAGGTGAAATAGACCTAGAAATAAGCTAATGGCCTGCCCAGTACAGCCGTTTGTAGGAGTCCAGAGTTATCTGCTCTATACTACTGCTGGGTAGAACTGGTGAGGATATTGTTCTTCAAAATGTTTGTCAACCAAAAAATGTCCTTTTTGTTTAAATCAAAACATTCTGAAAAACCTATAGATTTTGATGAAATTTTGTTTAGAAAAAACCCAGAACTAAACATTGCAATAATGTCAGAATCTCCCTTCTTGGCATTTTGGGAAATAGAACATTTCAGGGTGTTTTTTGTTTGTTTGTTTGTTTTTTAATTTCGAAACTTTTCAAAATTAAACTCGTTTTTTTTTAATAGTATTAAAAAAGTCGACGTTTTAAAAAGTTGGAAATCGGAACAAAATGACCTGAAATGAATTATTTTTTTCAGAAATTTGTTTCCTGGGAAATGGTTGGGTTTTTTTGCTTTGTTTCGAAAATTTGAAGTTGTGGAATTGCCCGCCAAATGGATCCTCTGATTCCTGCCAACTCTACTGTGACAGGTCTCTCAGTGTAGCAAAGAGGTCTGCATTTCCTTGTAAAATGACATCACATAGGCCAGCAGGGTTGCTAGGCAGAAAGGAGGATATTTCAATAATGAGGAAGAATGCAAAGCCACAGAACCCGGAAGCTTTTAGTAAGGGCAACCAGTACGCAGTCCGGATCGGGCCTTATGCCCCAGCCATGAGCTATTTGCAAATGAAACTTCCCAGCTGGAAGACAGCATTTTAAATCTATTTCATTGTTCAGAGTGCCAGTCTTGTTCAGCGTCCGATTGAACCTGGTTCACATGCATAACGATGTATTTTATCAACTTTGTGATCAGTTTAAGTAAATAATATTCAGCAACAAGGTGTCATGTAAACATCGCCCTCTGCGCAACACGGCTCTCGCTGAGACTCGGGAGTTGTGTTGTGGTTCTTTAATGTGCAGTACAGGAGTGGCTACAGGGCCCCAGATGAGGTCAGGCCCCATTGTGCTGGATGCCCACAGCTAGTGAGAGACAGTCCTGGTCCCAAAGAGCTTCAGTAGAGGGTGCCTTTTTTCCTACACATCTCTCCTGTGACGTTTCCGTGGGGACTTGAATGAGCTGCTGATTCAAAGCCGTGCCCAACTGAGTGAGACTCTCCTGGGTAAACGTGGGTCTGTCTGTGTTTGGCACTTGGGGAGTGGTACCAGCTCCCACTCTCTCACCGAGCTAGCGCAGTGAAGCTAGGGTAGCGTGGGCAGTGGTGGCCCGGGCTACTAGCTGTGCTGAGAATGTACCCACCGGGTTCTGGTGGGTTTGTCCTTGGCACTAGCCCATGCTGCCACTTGCTGCGACTCGGGTCGCCAGTTCTGGCTGGATGAATTCCTGGAGGTTTCATCACATGACATATAATCTTTAATTAAAGATTATATCTTGAATTCCTGGAGACTCCAGAACAATCCTGGAGGATTGGCAGCCCTCGCTGCTTCCCTGGCTTCGCTGCTGTTTTTAGTGGGCTAGCTTGAGAGCTAACGCCTGTCCATCCACGTGAGCTGGGAATCGCACCCCCAGCGCCGATGTAGACGTAGCCTCGGGTCTGTCTGTGCTTCAAACTGGAGCCATCAATTCCAGTTCCAGGACACCTACCTGCATCAGCGCCAGTTGAGCTGGTGCACTAAGTATAACTGTGTAGCCCCAGTGGTATGAGCCCCGGGACAGGTTGGCATCCCTTGTATGTTCCTGTGGTCTCAGATGGGCTTTTCCCCGGGGAAGCTGGCCCCTCCCACTGCTTGCATCACAGCAGCTAGACTTCGGTTTTTAGCCCATTAACTTGATTAAAGCTAGCGTGGGTGTGTCTCCTCCAAGTGGAATTGACACCTCCCTTAGAGGGCAGGGTCTCCAAGTGCAGAGTCCGTAGGCTGCTCCTCTTCCTGTGGGGCTGGCTGCAGGGTTGTTGTTTCAAGGCCTGATATCTCCGCTTCTTTGTCCCCTGGGAGTCCTTTGCCCCATATCGACTCCACCTTGGAGGTTTGGTAGTGCTGCACACCCATTCTGCATGGGTGTAACTGACTGTCCAGAGAGCAAGGGGGTAGAGACTCAGATCCCCCATGTCTGTCTTCAGTGTCTGTTCCCTTCAGTTGTATTCACCTGCCTCTAGGACGTAAGGTTGTGGGTTCAAGTCCTCATGCCAGAACTTTGGCTCACGCCCAGTGCTGTCCCTGCTGTGCAGTGCCAGGAGCAGTCACTGTCCAACCAAGGTCCCTTCTGCTAATTTCCATGGGCTGCCAAATGAATGTTAAATATACTAGGGGACTTTTAGAAAAGAGTGGAGGGGAACTCTAGTATCCTGGCCAGTATCCACACTCCCCGCCTTAATATAGCAGGTACTAGTGTCCAAGGGTGGGTGTGAACTAGTGCTGAGCACAAGGTGGCCACTGTGTTTGCCAGCAGGCAGCCCCGGTTCGGAAACATTGAGACTCTCTTCCCAGAGGAAGACTGCCTTGTGGTTAAGGCACTAGCTGAGGTGTGGGAGTCCTGGGTTCAAATCCTACCTCTGCCCCGGTCCAGATTCTTTGTTGCCTTGGGTGAGTCACTTAGTCTTTCTGTGCATCTTGTCCTACAACTTCATTAGTGCTTGTGCAGTGCTCGTGTGGTACAGGGCCAAGGCAGATTAGCTGGAACAGCATCCACCAGAAAGACTGTAAGGTGGGCCGTGTAGGTGAAAACAGCACAGGGAACAATAAACGGTAGGAAATGTTGCTTGCTTAAATCCCTTGACAGAGAGTCATGTGGCTAATATCGTGGCTCTGTTGACCAGGCAAGTTGGGATTGTATGTAACACCTTTATTTGCTTGGAATTTTGACTGTCTGGATCTTGGGGTGGGGTGGGATATGGAATCAGCTTTGGTTACTGTAGTTGGAAAAAGACCCAGCAGATCTCTGCTCCTGCTGATTCATGATTTATAAATTAAACTCAGATGAAGCAATGCTGAGGGATGCAGTCTTCCCCATTTCAGAAGGAACTTCACTTATAAATTATATATATTTTAGACTAAATTAAAATTGCTACAGCGCTCGATTCAGTCGTAAACTGCAGGGTTGGGTTATACCAGTGGCTTTAACTACCAATTATAAACATGCCAGAGAAATGGAGGTTTGCTTGAGAAAGCATATTTAAAGTATTATAGACTGGTTCAGAAGTAAGAAGCCTGTCAAAATAAATATACTCTATAAAGGCCATGCCTGGAGCCCCCAGGAATATTACTCTTACATAAATGATTCCTACTCTTTAGGGAGCAACCACTGTTATTTTCCTTCAGTTTTCTTAATTACCACATAGTGTGTGTTTGGTCCAACAGAAATTCATACTGCCAGGGCCCATGAAAGAATTTGCATCCTTGTTGTGCAGCGTGGCTGGCACTGGAGTTGAGGGAGAGCAGCAGATGAGAGACTGCTCTCTGAAGTGACCTTCTTTTGGGGCTGCTGAGTTCGTTACTACACATGGTCTCTATTAAATCTGATATGAATGAGTTCCTGAGAGCTCACTCAGCTGTGGGGGACCTCATCGTGGGTAGCAGCGCTGGTGAACTTGCATCATAAATTTCATTCTGATATGCACAGGATATATCAGCCTCTAAAGGCCAACTGTCACTTTGCCTGTTAACATATCTGTGGTGGTTTTGTAACGCAGAGACTTGCCTGGCTTGCTGCAAGGCAGTACTTTTCATGCTCGGCGATTGGTCTATTTCCAGCAAAAGAAAATGTCTGCACCAAAGAAAATGTTGTAGTAAAACAGTAGCACTGCAGTGTATCAGCATCAGAGATTTGGTGTGGAAGTAAGAGAAATTACACCACAATAGGGCATGTGTACCCTGTGCTGAGATAGCCGTTCTAGGTGATCTGCATCTGTTAGCATGTCCACATGTGAACATGCACATATTCTCTTAACTCCATTTGGCAGAACCATGTTAAAGCACAGTTTTTGGTAGCTAGGTGCTAGTACTTTTTGCAGCTTCAGCAGAGGCTTAGATCTTGTATGCAAGGTTTTAGCCATAGCCATTAACTAAATCTGCAGTTACCAGAGTCATATAGCGGTGTAGAAATACATATACATCTCTCCACCAAAGAAATGCAACTGCAATCTAGAGCTAGCCATGAGATGTTTGCGCAGGACACAGGTACATTTGGGCCCATGATGGGGCACAGTATCTTCTAGTGAGACACAACTGAGACTAAGGAGGTATGTGAGAAAGGCTCATCAGCACATCCTTTCTCACTTGTCATGTTAATTTTGCTTTGACTCAGGCTTGCTTGAGCTCCTCATGATTTATAAACGGCCTTAATTACAGTGCTGAAGAATGGAAGACAATGTGTCCTTTCTAATGGAAGCAGATGCTGCCCCATCTCACTGCCGCTAATGTGCTTTATTTTAAAAATCTATTTCTCTTCAGGTCAGCGTCGCCACCCCGAAACAAAAACCGAAAGTCCCGTTCTGCTTTGGTGAGTGTAACACATGGGGGAGGGGGGACACCAAAATGCCCAGAGCTCACATCATGACAGGTCTCTGACGGGAGGACTGCAGGGTTAGGTGGCTGTTATAAACCATGAGAATTCATAAACAGCAATTATCCATGGGCCTTCTTTATTCATTAGTATAAGGTGTTCCAGAAGTGTGAGATGCTGTGTGTTGCTGGGAAGAATGTTTTCAGAGAGGGTGAAATTCACACTTGTACAAAGCAGTCAGCACAAAGGACTATATGCACCACTTAAGTCCCTCTGAAACCCATAGGGCTAAATGGTGCCTTGATCCTTTTGCTGGCTGCTTCTGCACAGGGGTGGATTTCGCCCAGAATCCTTTGGATGGGAGGGGACCTCAGTTTTTCCCTGTATACCCCAGCAGCATGGATGCTCTGGGTGGTTGTCTGGCCTGGGCAACCTTGTCCTAGTGCATCGCTGCACTAATGGAGCTTTCCCCCATATTCACCCTCATGCTGCAGTGCATTATGCAATGTAGTTTTCTGCATTCCTGTCATTGCAAAGAAGAGGTGGTCCGGGATTGATTTCCCTTCCCGGTGGCCCTCGGCTTTACCCAAGCCACAAAAGTTCCTCACTTTCATGAGCACTAAGCTCACCTCAGAGTTCAAGCAGCAGGAACAACAGCACCAGCACATACCTGTCTCAAAGGGCTGGGGTGGGGGGCAGGGCTGGCTCCAGGCACCAGCTTAACAAGCAGATGCTTGGGGCGGCCAAGGGAGAGGGGCGGCACCTACGGCAATTCGGGGGCGGCAGGGTTGTCACTCCCTCTAGGAGCGTAGGACCTGCCGCTGAACTGCCGCCGCCGATTGCGGCTTTTTTTTCCCAATTGCCGCCGCTGATCGCGATCGTGGCTTTTTTTTTTTTTGCTTGGGGCGGCAGAAATGCTGGAGCCGGCCCTGGTGGGGGGCCACAATTTTCTATACTTGCATGCAGGGGACATGAATCAGCACCAAACCAGAGCAGGTAGCATATTCCCACGCCATGACTGAGCTTGCTGCTCTGCTGTGCTGTGCTCCAGGAGCCTGCGAAGGTAAAATATGGGGAGTGATTGGCAGCAGTTCACATGCAGGGAACTGCAAGTGCAGATGGCTAACGTGAGGAGGCCTGGGTTTCAACAAAACCTTGTGCAGTTCAGAATGTCTCAAGGTTTTCAATGCAGAAATCCTATGAGAATGTTTCCTTTGACCCAGCTGCTGCAAGCCAGAAGGCCATATGAGCTGAGAAGTCAGGAGATGGAGAGGAGGGGCTGCGTGTCCCAAGAGAGTTTTCCAGACTCTCATGGGACTCCTGTTGAGGAGTTGATCTGCCTTTGAGCATTGCAGATGAAACTTAAAACTGTGGTTCTGACCGCTGGCGGTCATAACAGCTCCCAGGGCACTTGTAGGCATGTTACTACGAGTGCCCTAGTTAAATTCTAATTCAGATCGTTTCAGTTGGATTGTGATATTCTTCATGCCCAGTCCTGAACTGTTGTGTAGTGTGGCAACATGCAGTTAAACAACTGCCATACTCCACCCCAGAGGTGGCTGCAGCTCAGTGGTGGTTCCTTGTATATTTTCCTGTCAAGTGGTTGCAAGGCTGAAATAGGTAATGCTTGCAGGGTACTGTGGGGTTGGAAGTTGAGAGGTGCTGCTGATGTGCAAGGTATTATTATTGGATTAGTTTAAGCAGGCTGAGCACTGACTAGGGTTCCCTTCTCTCTTTTTTTTTTATTCTTCTCTTTGATAGTTATCAATGCTTTATCTCAGCGCTATTTCTTACAAGCCAGTGATCAAAAGGACCTACAGGACTGGGTGGAGGCTCTGAACCGTGCCAGCAAGATTACGGTATGTTACGCTACTATCACTGCTGTCTCCTCTCCCCTCGTGGGCAGTGGGGCTGTCAGAGAAATGTTTGGAAAGCCATATTTAACTTCTTGCTCTACCTCATCCCCTTTCTGCAACCTGCTCAAAGGTAATGGCTGAGTCTGGCCAGAAACCGGGCTGCTCCTGGAGCCAGCTGTGCGCTGAGTCTGAGCCACGCTTGATGTGGAGTTAGCACTGCTAGCTCCGCAGGAAATTCCTAGTCAGAATGTTGAGTCTGTCATGTTTTAATTAATGCTGAGGTTGTGATTCACAACCACAAAACCAAGGAAGGAGTTGAAACCCTATTCTCAGCTAGCTGCTGCGCTGTCCTTCAGTCCCCTTGGGAGCTGCTCCGATCCATCGTGCTGCTCTGTGGTATAAAGCAATCGCAGTACCATCAGCATGACTGTCCCAGAGCTCCCGAGCCCCCTCAGCTCCCATTGGAAGGAATGGGACTGCTGCAGCTTCCTGCAGAGTACAGAGAAGTTATTCAAACACGGCATGCTTAGCTGCTGCTTTGTAAGTTTTAATGACTTGCATGATTTTAATTTAAGAAAGAAAATACTCCAAGAAAAGGGGCTGATCTTTTGGTTATGAAACTTCCTAAAGAGATTTTAGAGCTGGAAAAAGACACTGGGCCAGATTTCTAAGTGCTTAGCATCCACAATGTGGGCCAGAATTTCAAAAGTCCTTAGGACCGGTAGCTACCATTGAAAACTATAGTAAGTGAGCTGTTCTGAAAATCTGGCCTCAGATGAGTGATCTCACTGGTTTCTTTTCCTTCTCCGGTAACTTAAATCTGGAGAGACTTTTATATTTATAAACAAAGATAAGATAAATGCACTTCCCGTATTCCCAGGCACAGCTGCTGCGTGTGACAATGATTAAGCCCTTGAAAAGAGAAGCTTCTCTGGGAGATAGACACACCCTTATGTGTTCTGGTGCCACTGTGTCAATGTAATTATTGAAGGCTGGGATCTGTGTGTAACTGATTTCTTTCTGCTGCTATCAAAGGGTTTCTTTCTTGTGCTAAAGTAATTTGCTTATTCAGTTTTTCTCCTTCCTGGTACAATTGGTCTCATGAGATTTGATACAGCAAACACTTTGTATTGTGGGACGCAGTATATTGCAATATAATAAAATACACAGGATTTCATTTTCCAAAGGGCTGGGTCCTGGCCTGCCTTTTGCTGGTGCGCGTTGCACTTGCCTTTTTGTATCTGCAAGTGAACTGAGGATGCAAATCTGGGTCCCTGCAGCTGCCTGATGGAGGGTGAGCTGCTTGGCTGCACCTGCTCTGATTTGCACCTTCCATTCACTTCTGGGTGCAGGTTACACTTGCAAAAACCCCAATCTAGCCCCAGAGGCATGGCAACTGCCCTGGTGGCAATTTCCTCCAAAGTATGACTAGCCGAATATGAACTCTAGACTTGAAGGACACTGATCTGTTCCTCCTCATGCCTTACACTTTGTGTTGTCATTTGCACCTGTGGAAAGTTAATGTAAAATGCTACTGTTCTGATCTGAGCGAGCTTTACCTCCACTCTGCACTCATTCTGCAGAGGCATCAGTGAGGATACAAGGTGCTGGGCATTGGTGAATCGGGCCCCTAGTATGCGGCTTTTAGAAATAATTGCATCTGTTTATTGCTGAATGGAGCCTGTTTGATTTTTAAACCCCTAAACCCCAAACTATTAAACTTTGGCTGGGCCTTCTTGGATCCTCTGGCTTGTCTAGATTGGCGAGCTGGCCTGCATCACTCACTGGTCACTAGCTCAGCACATCAGACAAATCCAGCAGGGGAGTCTCCTGCCTTCTACAGGGCAGTTAGAAAGGACAGTGCCACAAAAAACATTTGCAAGACTTCTGGGTGTGAGATTTGACCCACCTGCTCCCTGTAAACTTCCTTTCTCCCGTATGCCTGTTCACACAGTCTGGCTTCTCTGTGCCATTCCTGTTACCAAGCTGCAGTGTGGCCGGGTGCTGAGTAGAAACCCATAGTCGCTGAAAGACCAAATACAGTGAAAATGGGCAAGGGAATTAATGTGTTGCTTTTCCTAAGACCAGCAAATAAATTGACCCAGACAGTGCATTGGGCTAGCTGGGCCCTTCATCTGGCATCGGAGCTGGTGGACTGAAACGCTAGCTCATCTGTTGTGCCAACAACAAACGGCATATGCCGCTCCTGCTTTCGTTTCTGGGATCAATATGGATACAAACCCATTTAGACATGAGACCAGAAAGAGATCCTGGGATTCTGGTGGTCCCAACCAGTGTGCTGTGTAGCATTTTTGTCCTGGCCCTGTGTTACATACACTCAGGGTGATGCACGTGGTTTAGCTGCCTTAAGTGGCAGAGGAATTCTGAAGTGCAGGAAACAGAATTAGTCAGAGAGGGTCAATAGTTGATTGAACATGCCAGAATAACAAGTTAAAGCACATGTCTAGATTCAGAAGTTCTAAGAAAGGCTGTTTCCATATTAAACCTCTGGTGGCACTTCAGGCCGGGGCTAGTATTTCCTTATTTCATAGTCTCTTGGAAGAGCGAGAGGTTTGTCTGTCCCAGCGAGCACCTGTTGCTAGGGTGTGGGGTGTAAAATCGCAAGCACGGTAGCGGCATCTAGAGAGAGCCGGCTTGCGAAGAGGCACCATTCAGAAGGCCAGTTATTAAGTAGGACTGGCTGTTCTCCTCTTTAATTGCAGTAGGCGTCTGTTTGCCAGAAGCCGGGAATGGGGGATATATCACTTGATGATTCCCTGCTCTGTTCATTCCCTTGGGGGCACCTGGCATTGGCCACTGTCGGAAGACAGGCTACTGGGCTAGAGGGACTATTGTTCTGACCCAGTGTGGCCGTTCTGATGTTATCAGAGAAGTGAGTAGCCCTAGCCAGGAGGCGCTGGGCTCCCCTGTGGGCTGAAGCCTGAGACTCCAGTCCACACTCCTTCCACCGCGAGGCCATTGTTTTTCTGCATTTGTCGTGGCCTAGCTGACTATCCTCAAAGCTCCTTGGGCCACGGTAGCCTGGAACGGCTCAGTCACTTATGGGGAAGTTCTGAAAGGCACAAATGGGGTTTTGGGGGGAGATCCTGACTTTCAGTGGGACCTGGGCCTCTAACTGCCCTTTGCCATTGAAAATCTACCTCTTGATGTGTATTGTGCAAGTCTTGATTTGCTACTTGCCAAAATATTTCTTCAGCACTCTACATGAGCAGCACTAAGCTAAACCTCACAGCAGGGAAGGAAGGATAGTCCAGCTCCTAGGGAGGGTCCTCTTGGATTGAGAGACAGGTTCAATTCCCTGCTTTCACACAGACTTTGTATGTGACCTTTAGCAAATCACTTGGTTTCTCTCTGCCCTGTCTGTACAGTGGAGATCATAGCACTGCCCTGCCTGGGGGCGGAGGGTGAGAGTACGTACATTAAAGACTCTGAGGGGCATAGATACTGTAGTAGTTGGGGCAGTTAGCTGCAGTAGATACCCTGGAGAGGTAGCTCGTTATTTTTTCCATTTTGCAGATTAAAACTAAGTCACAGGCCGATTGCTGTGAGCTGGATTCCAACGGGCACCCCCTAGCAGTAATGCATGCAGAGATTCAGACCCCTACTGTACAATCTCTTTATGTATGCATTGTGAAACCATTTCCGTTGGTTTGGCCATGTGTGCCAGCTCCTCCAGCATTGACGTGCACAGACCTCCTTGTCTGCACTCCCTTCCGTGATGCTTGAGAAGATGCAGACAGATGAAAGACGGCGTGTTGCGCAAGAGGTTCTGATCTGGCCAGTTGCTCGTCACGCCAGCGTGTTTGGCAGCCTGGTGCACTAGGTGACAACCGCATAAAGTTCCGCTGGACCATGCTGCACAGGTGTAGGTTGCTGAGGCAAAGTGCGCAGTGCTGGGCTCCCGCGGGTGTGGGAACCATCTGGCTCGTTGCTTTCTGTCACAGCAGCTGTGCTGTTTCTGAAACAGGAAGCGATGGTGTGTTAAGATGCTCATGTTTCCTGTTCCCTACCACTGAAGGCTGGCTACTTCACTTGGTTAGCGGAGCCTGGCTTTTGAGAACTGCCTGGAGTTTACTGCTTGGGTTATTGCTCCAAAGATTAACTAGAGAAAATGCTTTCTGTTGAGCCTTTTCATGCTGCAGATAGATGTCTGACCAGTGGGTTGATTAGTTCAGCACTGAATCACTTTCTGTAGGAGACAGTAGCTGTCTGTTCGGGTCTGGCCAGGAAAATCTTGGACTACTCACTCCTCTTCTCAGTCCTTATCTACACACAAACTTGAGTCAGCTCAGTTAAACTGGTTCAGTTAGACTAGACTCTTGTGTGGAGACTCTCATTTCTGTCTGAGTGCTTTATTTTGGGCTACCTTCTATCTGTTCCTAATTCTCTTAAGCTAAACCAAAATTAGCCTGCTCTCAAACAAAAGAAGAGCATCCACACAGCCTTTTACGCTAGTTTAACTAACCTGGTTTTAAATCGCTGCTTAAGTAAAAATGATGTAACCGTGTGTGTAGATAAGCCCTTACTTTCAGGAGTGCAAATTTACTTCTTTTTAAAAAAAAAATCTTTAGCACACTGGTCCAGTCTGTTTGTTAAGAGGCCAATCACTGAATGCAAACTACATGGTGAGTCTAACTTGGGGAATAGCAGGAACATTCCCTGAGGCTAGGTCTACACTACCCACCTGAATCGGCGGGTAGAAATCGATCACTCGGGGATCGAATTATTGCGTCCCGTCGGGACGCGACAGTCGATCCCCGAATCGACGCTCTTACTCCACCAGCGGAGGTGGGAGTAAGCGCCGTCGACGGGGAACCGCGGAGGTCGATTTTGACGCCGTCCTCACAGCGGGGTAAGTCGGCTCCGATAGGTTGAATTCAGCTACTTTTGCGTATCTTAAATCGACCCTCCCCCCCCCCCCCGTAGTGAAGACCTGCCCTGAGACTCCGTGTTTCTCAGTTCCGTGAGCTCACTTCTGACATGAAAGCAATCCAGATAATTGTACCTAGTCCGTACACAGCAACTGACGTGTTCAGAGCAGTGCACAGACCTTATCCTCCCAACATCCCTGCAAAGGTATGTTCATATTATCCACTTTCTACAGAAAGGGAAAATGAGGCAGAGAGAAGTTAAGCAACTCGCCCCAGGTCATCGAGCAAGTCAGTGTCAGAGCAGTGGTTATAACTCAGGAGTGCCTGTCTTCTCCCTGCCTGGAGCTCTTTCCTCTAGCCTATGCTAGCAATCAAGAAACCTTTAAATCACATGGGGGGGAACCATTCCAGGACACCTGCACTGTCCCATGTCATTTTCCAATAGCAACATCTTCTCCTTTGGGCTTACAGTGTGGAGTGCAGTGTCTTTGTCCCGTCCCCTTGCTGTTGAGTGGGATGTTCTGCTCAGTCTGGGGGATGCTGAAGGCAAGGAATAATCGTGCATGAGAATCAGGGGCTCCTCGGAGCCAAAAGGCCTTGAGGAGACCTGTGCCTGCAAAGGCACTTGACAAACCGGATAGCAATATTGCAGCTCAGGGACCTGGATGAATTCCCTTCTCTCTCTGCAGTTTCTCTGCTGCCAGTGCTAGCCCAGCTCTGCAGAGGAGAGAGGTTGTTGACACAGGTAACAAAACTGTTGCTGTAGAAATGGAGCTCTCTTGGGTTTGAGCTTCTTTCCTTTGGCACTATACTTAGCACAGTTGGGTTAGTTCCACCCGCTTCCCGCCCCTGAACGTACTGCCGAAGTTAACAATGTGGGTAAACAGAGCAAAGCGCAGGGCCAAAGGGCTGGATCCCTAATGACTGAAAAGTCTCTGAGTAAGGCAGGTAACCCTGACTCTCCCCCAAGTCTGGATATGTCTACACTGCAAAAAAAACCCACAGCTCCACCACATATCAGAGTCTGGGTCAGTTGACTCGGGCTTGTGGGGCTAAAAATAGCTGTGTAGACATTCCTGCTCGGAGTGGAGCCTGGGCTCTGAAATCCGGCGGAGGGGGAAAGTCTTGCAGCCCAAGCAAGAATGTCTACATGGCTATTTTTAGCCCTACAGTCTGAGCGCTATGGGCCAGTGTCAATTGACTCAGGCTCTGAGTCTCAGTTCTGCAGGCTTTTCTTCGCAGTATAGACATACCCCATGTGAACTGGTTGGCAATTTCCTTTGGCCTGCACAGAGTTACCGCAGCCTGGTTCTCCCCTGCCCTGCTGCTTGTGGTGTGACTCAGCCTGTGTGAAGTATGTGTAAAACACAACCAAACTGGAAAGGGTACCTTTGACATGTGCTTGACACAGGTAGGAAGGACTGCACAGATTGCAGGACAGTGAGGAAGCACACCCATTAGTTTCCATCCCAGTTAAGATGGATGAGCTCCTGGTGACCCACTCTGACCAGACCTGCTGCAGAGAGATCCCCTTCCGGCATGTGGGGGTCATGCTCTGTTCAGAGAATCCATCCTGAGTTTACACCAGCTTGTGGCGAGGAGCCTCTGATTTTAGCCAGAGAAATCCAAGGTTTCAGCTTCAGCCAGAGGGCTGTGGGCTGCGTCCAGCCAGGCCCGGGATGATCCGTGAGCATTTGTGGCTGATTATGCCACACCCATTGGCAGAGTGACAGAGCAGCCAGATTTGCAGTGTCATCTGCATACACAGGAAGAAGAAGTAACTTTACATAGGAACATCCCTGAGTCTCAGGAGCCGGTTTGGGAAAGACCAATGTCGACAGCAAGAGAACAGGCCACATACACGCAGGGAAATGCGTGGGGGGGGGGGTGTGATTCCTGCACAGATCCGTGTCCTTTCCCCAGGACACGGAGAGGGCTGTTCCCCAAACTGCAGTGGGATTAGAGCGGCCTTGTCCTGCTGTTACCTCTTACTGGTTAATGGTATATCAGCATTTGGAAGGGAATGATTCAGCGTGCTCGGAATACAAAGCCGGGTCCCAGCAGCTTGCACACTGCTGGGGTCACACTGCTGTAGATGTGCTGTCGTCTAGCCTGGTTAGACTTGCAAAAGCTAATCATTAAGTCTGGCAGTAACTAGAGCAAGACAATTAAAGGAGCACAAATGCACAGGGCTCCAGAGGCAGGTCGCAGACTCATGTCAGGTGATGTTTAATTACCCACCTCCTCTCTTCTTTCCTCATATCATAGGGTTCTCCTGCAAACAGCTTGGGATGGAGCCACACCCTCATTAACCTTGATGTGGGGTGTCTTGGTGGTGGTGTTTTTTTTTTTAAAGGGGCACTGCTGTATTTGAACAGGAGAATGGACAGGCCAATGTCCCAGATGCAGACCCTAAGCCTAAACCTGCTAAGGCTTCATTTCTACCAGGAGGGGTGGTTTGGGGCTAGATTTGACTCACCCATTTCTGTCTTTCACAGGTGCCAAAGAGTGGTAGTTTGCCCCCAGCCACAGAGATTACAAAGCCCCCCATTGCACCCCAAACCCAGGAGAAGAAACCACAAGTGGCCTACAAAACTGAGATCATTGGAGGGGTGGTTGTGCACACACCTATCTCTGTCAATCAGGTAAGCTGGGCGTGTCTGCGTTGCATTGCCTTAGCGGAGTATGCCTGTGGCTTTGCAGATCTACAGCTTGTGCTAGCAGAGAATGTTCTGAAATGTGCATTCAATTGGGAGGAACCAGAATGTGCCATGTGAGGATGGCAGCATGGGCAACCTCTGGGATAAAAATCCAGATCAGTCAGGCAGCCCCCCAAAAATCATGAGCTTAAAAATCATCAAAGTTTAAAAACAAATTTTAGGTGCCTATTCTTTGCCCCTTGGTTTCTGAGCCTTAGGGTTCTGTTGGTTCTCATTTTGCAGCTTTTTCTCTGCAACCAGGAGGGCTAGAAACTTCTTTTTCTTTACTTTTTATAAAAGAAAGCTGAGATTCTCGTGAGTCCAGGAACCTGGGGCTATAAGAAAAGCGCCAAGTACTGCAAGTCTCATGATAAAATCAACAAGAGTTGGTAATTCGGGGATGGTGAATAGAAACGATCTGTAGTTTAACTTTCGCTCCTTGCCTTTCTGTCTCCAGGCACTGGAAATGAAATACTCTTGGTACCAGCACAATGCTCTGGGACTCTAGCCTCTCACTGGCTCGAAGGAACAATTCTTGAGGGATGTAAGGGGGAAAAGCTGGCAGTTCTCTGCACGCTTAGCAGGGTGATGAAATTTATACCACATTCTGCTCTTTGATTTTCCTGTATTTAACTGTTGGGGAGTCTTCCAGCCGTGTGCTTGACCCATGTCTGTGCCATTGAATGGGTCTCTGCGTCATCGTTTTTATGTCCTAGGTTCAGCCTCTAATCATTTCTCTACCAGACATAACAGAGATCTATGGAACAACTGTGTGTGATTGACATGGTATGAGGGATAAACAGTCTTGGGATGAAATGCAGGGTCCATGTTGCTTAGCTAGCATATGTTTGAGCAGGAAATGCAATATGCCTGCTTATTTCCTCTGTCCAATTCCTTACTAATACAATCAGCAAAGCTCTGCGGTAAACCAGGCCAACAAACATTGCATCAGTTTTCTTCTACAAGCTGTTCCCATCCTGCCTTTTGCATTCTGAAACAGTTAAACAGAACAAACGCTACTCAGGTGTGTAGTTAACTGCAACAAATTATACCTGGATCCCTACTTTTTAAGTGAAGAATATTACCCGTCATCTACCAGAGGTGGGAAACCCGCATTTATTATTGTTGTTCGTTTTTGTTTAAGTGCCTGTCTGAGCCCCTGAACTATGAAGCCATACAGCGAGTGGAGGAATATCTTTTAATACACAGAGACAACCGACTCTGCGAGCTAGGCCGCTCTGCATAGTAACTCACACGTTACAACAGTAAAGCTTGTGCGTGAGGCCTGCAACAAATAACCCCCCACTAGAACCCCAACTGCCCCCACTACGTCCCAGCGTTTCTCCCAGGAAATGGGTGGATCTTGCAGCAAGTCCTAAGGCTAATAAATCTGGTTTCCGGGTCCAAGTTGAGGTTCCTTCACAAAAAACACCTTCCCTCTTAAACCAGGGGACTGTCAGCTCAAGTGCCTTGCCACATTGCAGCTGCTCTGAGCCCAAACCATTTAGGTCTTTATAGGCCAAGAACACCTTAAATCCCACCTGGAAACTGATAGGCAGCTGGGGCAGATTCTGAAGCAACCGTGTCACCGTGAGCTGCATGTAGTGCAGCTAGGCAAACAGGCATATGTCAGGGGATGTAATCTGGTCATTGGCAGATACCCAGAGCCCTCTTGCTTTCTTTGGACGGGGGCACACAGAGCAGACTGTGACACAGGAAATTGGTGGCAGGGCTGATGTCTCAACACCTAGATACTATGGTGACCGTTGTTCCAGAAACGCCTCAGGGAGATGGGTTTAGCTGAAAGGTGTGACCAGAAAGTCCCTTATTGGCAACGTGTCTAAGCAGCCTCAGTAACACAGCTGAGATCAGCAGTAATTCACACTGAGCTTAAATGGCAGGTGCTTCAGACAGTACCCAACTGGGGACTTTGGGCTGCATGGGCCTAAATCACAACCCTTTGGTCTGCTTGCCATCTCTCTCGCACACGTGTGTCTGGGGAGCTGCATGCTCTGGTGCAAGCCAGTAACTTTTTCACTCAGAATTTCAACAATGAGGCAGAACTTGGTGCTAAATCAGAGGTATTTCCAGTGACTGAACTTCAATGTGATTGTTGGGGGAGGACCTTGAATGCAGTTGCTTTGGTTTACCCCATTATGTGACATCTGCTGCCTGGGGAATCTGTCTGGAACCTACCTCTGAGGTTTAGGCTCTGAGCAGTCTGGGTGAGAGGCAGGAGGCTGTCTGACCTTCTCTGAAGTAAGACAGTCTGATTACACACTTCTCCTATTGGTGGAATTGATTTGCACTTTCAGTTCAGGAAACCAGGTCTGTGCCTGTGAAACCTCTCAGGGTTTATAAATAGCTGCACACAGCACTTCTCTCTGGCTCCAAAGTGCAGTGAGCCAAAAGGGGTTTATGGAGCCACATGCAAAGCTGCAAATTGCCTCAGCTTTCGTGCCCCTTAGCTGTGGCCTGATCTCTGTCTCAATTCCCCACGGCCCCCGGAAGGTCTGAGCCAGTTCCACTAGCCCCAGTGGCTGCTCACCGGAACAGCAGCTGGGAGATGCCACAGGAGGAGGTGGAGACCTCCCTTTCTCCAGTAGTCCGAGTCTCCCTTTCCCTGGACGCACAGGAGGGGCATGTGCATGACCATCAGCAACTTCCACCTTTTGGTGTTTTGACAGCCTAATTTCAGCTCTTATCAGTCACAGGCCTAAAAATAGAATGGAGAATTAGGTCACTGCAGTGTTCTCCTTGGCAGGCGTTTTTAACTCTTCTCTGGCCATACAGATGTGCACATGTGCAGAATTGGGCCTGACTGGAGCATAGGCATTGCCAGGGTTGGATCAGACCCATGATTCATCTAGACCAGTAGCCTGTCTCTGATAGTGGCCAGCACCAGCTCCTTCAGCAGGAGGTGCAAGAGACCTGACGGGGTGATCGTGGGATAATCTCCTTGTGGGAGGCGTTTCGTCCTGACCCCTGTCACTGAGAGGTTGGGTCGTTCCCTGAAGCGGGGTTTAATAGCCATCTTTTTAATCCTAACTCAATGTGTATGTTCTCATTATCAGGGCCGCACAGAGGATTCAGGGGTCCTGGGGTAAAGCAATTTCGGGTGGCCCTTCCATAAAAAAAAGTTGCAATACAATAGTAACATGTATTTGGAAATGTAAAAAATAACCAGTGAAATACATTCAAACATTAATTTTTAATAATTTGAAAATACACGAAATACATTATTTAAAAACATTAAATGCTTTATTGGTATGTATACATTTGCAATTACATAATGGGCTGTCGCTGGGTAATGGTGATGGTTGGTGTCATTGGGCTGTCGCTGCCTGGGGGTGGCGCTGGCGCTACTGTTGCCCAGGGCTGGGTTGGGAGCTGGGCTCTGGGTCAGGGGGTGCCCGGCTCAGAGGAGTTGGGCTCGGAGTTGGGCGTCAGGACTGGGGGGGGGATGGGGTTGGGGGAGTGTCCGGTTCAGAGGGGCTGAGCTCGGAGCTGGGGGTCAGGGCGGCGGGGGATGGGGGTCGGGGGGGGGTCCGGCTCGAGGAGTGGGCTCGGAGCTGGGGGGTCAGGGGATGGGGGGT